AAGGAAGAGCAGTTAATATGACTATTATTCAAATTTACACACCGATCACTAATGCCAAAGATGAAGAAACTGAAGACTTTTTTCCAACTTCTGCAGTCTGGAATTTATCAAACATGCAATCAAAATGCATTGATAATTACTAGTGATTGAATGCAAAGTTGAAATCAAGAAAGATCAATGAATGGAAAATATGGCGTTGGCAATAGAAACTACATCAGAGATTGCATGATAGGATTTTGCAAAACCAGGAACTTATTCATTGCAAATGCCTTTTTTTCAACAATATAAACAACGACTCTATGTATGGACCACACAGGATGGAACACACAGGAATTTAATCAACTGCATCTGTGGAAAGAGATGATGGGGTAGCTCGGTAACATTGGCCAGAATAAGGCCAGGAGCTGACTGAGGAACAGACCATCAATTGTTCATGTGCAAATTCAAATCGAAGGTGAAGAAAATTAAAACAAGTCCACATGAGCCAAAGTATGACCTTGAATTTAGAGACCATCCAAAGAATAGATTTGAACACCGATGACTGAAGACCAGACGTGCTGTGGGATGACATCAAGGGCATCACATGTGAAGAAAGCAAAAGGTCATTAAAAAGATGGGAAAGAAAGAAAACACCCAAATGGATGTCAGAAGAGACTCTCAAACTTGCTCTTGAATGGAGAGTAGCTAAAGCAAGTGGAAGAAATGATGAAATAAAAATGCCGAATAGAAGATTTCAAAGGGCAGCTTGAGAGGACAAAGTAAAGTATTATAATGAAATGTGCAAAGACCTGGAGTCAGAAAACCAAAAGGGAAGAACATGCCTGCCATGTCTCAAGCTGAAAGAACTGAAGAAAAAAAAATGAAGCTTCAAGTTGCAATATTGAAGGTTTTTATAGACAAAATATTGAATGACACAGGAAACATCAAAAGAAGATGGAAAGAATACACAGAGTCACTGTATGAAAAAGAATTGGTCAACATTCAGCCATTTCAGAAGGTAGCATATGACCAAGAACTGTGGTATTGAAGGAATAAGTCCAAGCTTCACTGAAGGCGTTGGTGGAAAACAAGGTTCCAGGAATTGACAGTATATCCATTGGGGTATTTCAACAGACGGATGGAAGTGGTCACTTATTTACACCAAGAAATTTGGAAGAGAGTTACCTGGCCATCTGACTGGAAGAGATCCGTATTTGTGCCCATTCCAAAGAAAGGTGATCCAATAGGAAGCAGAAATTATTAAACAATAGCATTATGATCACACACAAGAAAAATTTTGCTGGAGATAATTTAAAATCAGTTGCAGTAGTACATGGACAGGGAACTGCCAGAAATTCAAGCCAGATTTAGAAGAGGACGTGGAATGATGGCCATCATCACCATCATGATGGATGGACATCATCTACCTGATGTCAGATGGATCTTGGCTGAAAGCGGAGAACACCAGAAAGAGGTTTGCTTGTGTTTTATTGACTATGTAAAGGCACCCAGTTGTATGGATCATAACAAATTATGGGTAACATTGTGAAGACTGGGAATTCAGAACACGTCATTGTGCTCATGAGGAACCTGTACATAGACCAAGAGGCAGTCCTTAGAACGGAACAAGGGGATACTGCTTGGTTAAAATCAGGAAAGGGGTGCATCAGGGTTGTGTCCTTTCACCATATGTATTCCGTCTGTATGCTAAGCAAATAATCCGAGCCGCTGGACCGCCTGAGGAAGAACGTGGTATCAGGGTTGGAGGAAGATTCATCAACAACCTGCAATGTGCAGATGACACAACCCTGCTTGCTGAAAGCAAAGAGGACTTGAAGCACTACCTGATGAAGATCAAAGACTACAGCCTTCAGCATGCACTACCCCTCCACATAAAGAAAACACAAATCCTCACAACTGGACCAATAAACAACAGCATGATAAACAGAGAAAAGACTGATGTTGTCAAGGATTTCCTTTTATTTGGATTCCAATCAACACCAACGGAAGCAGCTGCCAAGGCATCAGATGACTTATTGTATTGGGCAAATCTGCTGCAAAAGACGTCTTTAAAGTGTTAAAAAGCAAAGATGTCATTTTGAGGACTAAGTTCTGCCTGACCCAAGCCTTGGAATTTTTAACTACGTGATATGCATAAGAAAGCTGGACTATGAATAAGGAAGACCACAGAAGAATTGAAGCCTTTGAATTATGGTGCTGGTGCCGAATATCGACTGCACTGCCAGAATGAGCCAATCTGTCCTGGGGGAGATGCAGCCGGAACGCTCCTTAGAAGTGAGGATGGGGACCCTTCGTCTCACCTACTTTGGTCCTGTTGTCAGAAGGGACCATTCCCTGGAGAAGGATATCATGCTTGGTAAAGGGGAGGGTCAGCTAAAAAGGGGAAGACCCTCAACGAGATGGAATGACACAGTGGCTGCAAAGGTGGGCTCAAATATAGCGACGACATTAGGATGGTTCAGGACCAGGCAGTGTTTCATTGTGTGTGCATAGGGCTGGTATGGGTCAGAACCAACTCAATGGCACCTAACAACAACAATAGTGCCCGGCACATAGTAGGTGCTCAACAAATGGCCGTTGATATCACCATTACTGTGGCTAATGCTATTCTTACCTGCCCAGGGCCTACCCCAGCTGGCAGGGATTGGTCTCAAGGGCTGGCCAAGCCCCGTGGCCCCTTCACATCTCCTCTCTGGCCCTAAGATCTCTCCTACCCACCCTCCAGGGAGTTGGGTCTCTTCTCCTTGATCCAGAGAAGTCTGCCTGAGCCTCAGAAGATTCTAGACACGGGCAAAAAAGATGTTCTGTTCAAAAGTGAATCTCCTCCATTAAAAATAATCTTGAAGAAGGCTATTTGTTCACACAGAGAGATTTTCATGATTTAGTGTAACATGAGAAAAATAGCTGAAAAATTTGAAAAATTGTGACTGTGTGTGTATGTCTGTGTATTTATAGAAAAAAAAAAAGATTGGTTAGGTATCAAATGCCATGCTATTGGTATTTATGGTAGTAAAAGAAGGGGTTAAGATGGATGATGGTTATTTCCCTCTTTTTGATAGACTGAGATACATACACACACACATGCATGTGTATGTATGTGGTAGATATGCTGTATGACACATATATGTGATATAAATCCATTGTCATCAAGTTAATACTCTACAGGGCAGAGTAGAAAAATGTCTCATAGGGTTCCCAAGGCCATAATCTTCAGGGAAGCAGACTGCCATATCATCTTTCTCTCACGGAGAAATCCCTGGGTTCAAACCACCAACCTTTCAGTTAGCAGCCGAGCACTTTAACCTCTGTCCCACCAGGGCTACTTATATATATATATATGGAGTTCTGGAAGGAGCTCAGGTGGTGTGCTGCCTAAGGCATTTGACTGCTAACCAGATGGTTGGTGGTTCAAACCCACCAGCCACTCCGGGGAAGGAAGACTGGGCAGTCTACTTCAGTAAACATTTACCACCTCAGAAACCCAACGGGGGTCGTTATGAGTTGGAATCAACTCTATGGCAGTGAGTTTGGTTTTGGTTTTGGATGGAGCTCTGGTGGTGTAATGGTTAAGGCATTTGGTTGCTAACCAAAACGTCAGTGGTTCAGACCCACCAGCTGCTCTGCAGAAGAAAGATGGGGCAGTCTGCCTCCGTAAAGATTTACAGCCTTGAGAGCCCAATGGGGGTTGCTATGAGTTGTAATGGCAGTCAGTTATACATAGAGAGAGAGAGATAGAGAGAGGAGGGAGAGAGAGACAGAGAGAGAGAGCCCGTTTTTATCAGACAGCTGACCCCAGAATTCCTCTGAGGGAAACACTGTGCTGAGCTGCTGGGGGCAGAGATACAGGGGAGTCTGGGGCCACGTGGGCCCAGTGGCCAACGGAAGTTTCTAGGGTAGAGAAGCTGGAGGCTTTGAGAGCTGGACGTGTCTTGTTCTATTTGGAGCCGTTGGTGCAGCCCTGTAGGAACATCCCCTTTGCCTTGCCCCCGCCCAGCCCTCCTCAGTAAACACGGCCATATTCTGAATCCCCTCTGTGACGGGCTTTGTGGCAGTCGAGCAAGGAAGGCCCAAGCTTCTTGTGTGAGTCGCGGTGGTGGGGCGGCAGCAGCGCCAGCCTGGGGGACGGGATGAGCTGCAGAGGCAGCCCAAGCACCCGCACCTGGTGTGGGGCCCCAGGCCTTCCAGCTGCGGGGTGAGCAGCCCAGCTGGCACTAGGTGCCGGTATTGTTTCCTTCCTCTGCAATGAGCCAGTGTTACCTGTGGAGCTAAAAGGAATCAGACTGGAAGAGACCAGTGCTTGCCCTCCGGGCCCGGCCCCTGGCAGAGCGGCTGTGCACTGGCCGGGGTTGAGCAGGGTGGGCCTGCCGCGGGCCGCAGCCACTCCTCAGATCATAACTCCTCGCAGGGACAGAAAGTGCTGACGACACACGAGTGTGGAACAAACAGGGTTCTGACCCACGTCTCCGTTGTGATTGTAACATAAAACAATGCCTATAAGTGGCAGAGGGGTGGGTGTGTGGGAAACCCGAAGTTGTTGATGTGTTAAGGGCGTGGGCCGACACCTGCCCTTTGCCTCTTGCGTTTTTTTGTTGTTGCTGTGATGTTGTTTGGGCAAGAAAAACGGGAAGAGATTGTCGATTGTCAAGCTGGCCAGTCATGGTCAGATGAAGGGACTTTATGCCTCACCAACTGGGTGTGAATTCTAGTTCTAGAAGTGGAGGGGGTGGGCCCTGGAGGGAGCTGACACTCGGGAAGTGCCACCAGGGCTGGGGGATGCCACACACAAGGAATCTTGTTTCACTTTGCATAGCGATTCTTAGTGGTTCTCCAAGTAGGACTTAATGTCCCATTTTACAAATGAGGAAACTGAGGTTCAGTGATGTCACACAGCTGGTATAGGACAGAGCCAGGGATTCAGTCCCCACACCAGGGCTGGGGGAAAGCCCTGTGACCTCCGGCGGGCCTGAGACACGAAGACGTAACCCAGGCCCAGGACTCACCGTGTAGACGGATTCACGCGGCGACTGCTTGGAGCTGCTGGCCAGCTGCTTTGCTGGGACCTGCATCTGTTTCTGTAGGGAGGAGTTAGGACCGTGAGAGCCCAGGGACTATCAACCCCCTGCCTCCCCGCCTCCCTCCACCCAGAAAGAAGGGTGATGGATTGCCACCAGGTCACAGACATTAACCACTCAGTGTCCTCTGAACCTTCTCCAGGGAAATGTGGTAAACGCCTCTAAGTCTTACATCAAACCACTCGTCTGCCTGGGGACACGAGGAAGGAACGAGGCCATCATGGGCCTTGTCCTCGGGCAGCACCCGGTGGGCGCTGGACCAGCCTGCAGGCCCCGGACCCTAGACCCTACAGCTGAGGTTGAATTCCAAGCAGGCGTTCGGCACTCAGTGCTCTGTGACCTTGACCAAAGCCCCATCCCTCTCTGAGCCTCAATTTCTTCAGCAATAGTCCTCCTTCATGAGCCCACAGAAGATTCAGGGAGGAAATGAGGGGGAAGCACTGGGCACCCGGGTGGCATTGAAGATGCCCTCAGCCAATCAACACACACTTGTCAGATGCCTCTCATTAGCCAGGGAGTGCCAGAAGTGGACACGATCCCTGCCTTCCGTGGTCTGGGGTCTAGCAGAGAGATGGACAGTGAGACGACAGTTTGACTGAAGTGTACAAAGGGATGTACAAGCTGAGGGCTGAGAAGGGAGGAGAGAGCTGCAGCCACAGGGAACAGCATGCATCAAGGCCTGGAAGGTCGACTTGGATGGAGAGGTGGCCCTGCCCAGCACAGCCATGCAGGGCCCCATGAAGAGTGTGGACGGTGGGAACAACTGAAGACTTTAAGCTGGAGGCGCCAGGCTCAGAGCTGGTTTTCAGAGGCTCACGCTGGCTGCGGTGTGAAGTGCTAATGGTGGTCGTGAAGGCGGGGGCGGGGCAGGCTGCTGGGAAGTGGAGGGAGCCGGCAGGAGGCGGTGCAGGCGAGGGAGGCGGGCCTGGCCTTCCCCCCTCATCCCCGGCACCACGCTGCCAACCGTGGAGAAACAGCAGCCTCGTCTCAGGGCAGGAGCTAATTAAAAACCCTGGCTGCCTGCCAACCTCCAGCCCATTTACTCTGGGATTAGCTCTGGAGAGCTACTTAACTCTCAGACAGGAGCCAGCGCCACCCCCAGCCACGAAATAATCATGACTTGGAACCATGGCACGCACCGCCCTGTGCCAGGTGCAGCTCCAGGGTGAAGCCTTACCTGTCTTATATCAAGTGCCCACAACGAACCTGCGAGATACATCCTCACAACATCTCTGTTCTACAAGTCAGGGAGCAAAGGTTCAGAGAGGGCAGGACACTTGCCCAAGGCCACACAGCATGGAAGTAGCTGAGGCAGGCACTGAATTCAGGTCTGTGAGATTCACCCCGTTCTCGACACAGAATCATGTGAACAAGACCACCTTGGACTCTCTCTACATGACACTTGCTGCCTGGCAGGGCAGGTGACGGTGACCCATGGGGGAGTACTAGCAGGGAGATGCCCCTCCATGGGTAGATGGCACCCATTGGGTGAGCAGAAATGGGCAGGCGAAGAGCTGGACCAAACCACCCGACCCACTGCACTCCAGCCTGACTTTGCCACTTGCTTGCTGTGTGACTTTGGACAATCACAACCTCTCTGAGCCTTCCTTTCTAGAGCTGTAAAGTGGGAAGGAACTTTTCTCATAGGGTTATGGCACAGCATGGTGCAGGGTGCTTCTTTCCTTCCACGGTGCCGGGGATCAAGAAAACCCAGGACGAGGGTGGGTAGGATTCCTAATATGGGGAGCTAGAAACAGTGCACAAGGGGGCACGTGCCTTCCGTCAGAGTCTCAGAGGGGCCATTCCCTGGAAAAACTGGGGAGCTCTGATTTCTTAGAACAAGATCAAAAGGGACCTGGTGCCAACAAGTGGGGGTCCACTCACAGCATCTGGGAGCCACAGTGGGGGGTGCAGGAGGAGAGAGCAAGGGGCCACAAGGAACAAGTGAGGGGCGGCAGTGCACCGGATACAGGTGTGGATGCACACCTGCCCAGGGCCCCCAGGACCTACTGTGGGGTGGGCTCGCTGTCCTCTGCCCCTCGGGGAGCATCCTTATGGGGGTGTGGGGAGAGGGACAGCAGGGCCGTGCCCACTGCTGGTGCCATGTGTCCCCTACCTTCTTCCACACCAGCAGTGCTGTGCCCAGGACACTCAGGGCGGTCAGGAGGCCAGTGAAGCCAAGGAGCAGAGCCTTCTGGGAGCCCGGCCGGGGCTCTCGATACCCTGAGTCTAGGAGGAAGAGAAGCCGGAAAGCAGGGGGGTTAGTTACCCAGAAGCTGCAGGCACAACCCGCCCACAGCAATGGCCAGGCCCCCAACTCCCTGTGTTCTCCTTTACCGAGGCCCCTGCCTGGCTACCTCCCCCAAACCTGTCTTTACTCAGACCCTCCTTCCCACACTTGCTTTGGCTAAGCCTCTCTTGCGTTTACTCCTGGTTCTCTTTATGGGCAGGGACTGCACTGTTCACTTCTGCTTCCATCCCTCGGTGAACTCCAGGGTACTCTGGGAGCTGCTTGTGGGAGCCCGGGGGAGTAATGCCACCTCTTGGGGCTGCCTCTTTCCCATTTATGATACAGCGATAGTAATTACTTTCCTCACTGAGATGGGAAGGAATGTAGTTAGGGTTGAAGGGGACAGGAGATGTGTTTTTACCTGGGTTAGCAAGTGGCCAACCTGCACCGGGGTGAGTGACAGGCAAAGTCCTCCCACTGTGTCTAATCATCTGTCCATCCATCCATTCATCCATCCATTTCCCATCCATCCATCCATCCATCCACCCCCATCCATCCATCCATCCATCCATCCCTCATTTACCCCCCATCCATCCCCCATCCACCCATCCATCCATCCCCCATCCATCCATCCATCCCTCATCCATCCATCCATCCATCCCCCATCCATCCATCCATCCACCCCATCCATCCATCCCCCATCCATCCATCCATCCCTCATCCATCCATCCCTGCATCCCTTCATCCATCCATCCTCTCATTCATCTGGTGAATATTCATGAAGTGCCAATCATATGCCAGGCATTTCAACAGCTGCTATGTACTGAGCACTTCTGGCCCCAGGCTCAGGTCCTTATATGTATGGTCTCATTTCACTCCCAAAAAAGCCCTTGACAGGCAAAGTACTGCCATGAAGACCAGGCTTAAGGTCACACCCTGGGAAGCAGCAGGACCAGGATTCAAGCCCAGGTCTGTGGGATTCTGAAGCTCCCAGCTCCTCCCCATGGGAACCGCAAAGGCAGGTCAGAGAATCATGGCTTCAGAGATGGACTTGTTGCTAACCTTCGGGGTCATCACTCCTTTAAGACTGTGATGAAAACAAGGAAGCAGTCCCCAGACAGATAGTCATGAGTCTAGCGCTCACACATGTGGCCCCACAGACGCACACCTGATTCTACATAACCCAGTCCCTCCATTGTGGGATGCCTTGATGGGACACTGTGACTGAGGGGCCAAGCAAGCCAGCTCAGGTCACCTGCGGCAGACCCACACCCCACACCTCCGTCATTTCCTCACAGAGGTGGATGCCTTGGCTGCAAGTGCTCACTGGGCTGGCAGCTTCCTGTGGTCAGTGTGTCCGGCTGTGTCAAAGCTGAAGACAAAGAGAACCGTTCCCCACTTCAGACTCTGCTGGGACCCTTCACCCCAGGAAGAGCCCTAGTGGAAGCCTCACCTCGGACCAAGATGAAGGTGCCATTGCCGGCCATGGTGATGCTTGGCCATTGGACACGGCAGTAGTAGGTGCCAGTGGCTGACGCATTCTGCAGTTGGGGGGTGACAGGGCACTCCACTCTATGGGTCTGGTTCTCCTTGCCCTTGCTGGGTTGGCAGGTGATAGGCTTCTCAAAGACAATGTGGGTCTCGCGGTCTACGTAGAAGTAGCTGATTTTGAAGCTCTTGTATTCCGGGGTGTATGGGTAGGTGATTTTGCAGCCAAACGAAATGGTCTTGTTGGCCAGAGTCACCATAATCGGGGGGCCGGTATGGATCACCGACTGTCCTCCTGCAGGGAAAATGGAACAGCACGTTCCTCTCAGAGGCCGCCCCAAGCTCACCCGCTCTCTGTGCACCTGTGGGTGCCTGCATTATGCCAAGGGCTTGGTGAGCACGACCCTGTATTTGCTGACATGCTCACGGTAGGGAAGAGCAAGAGGCCCATGTTCCAGACAAGAAGAGATCGAGGCACCGGGGCGCCCAGCATTTGCTCCCACTCCACCCCTGTGGGTCTGGGTTGGAGCTGCACCCCTGCCTGGGACTGGAGCTCCCAGATCCACACTCAACCACTTTCCTTAGGGATTGAATTGTGTCCCCCCAAAATATGGGTTGGAATCCTACCTTCTCTTCCTATGGAAAAGGAGCCCTGGTGACACAGTGGTTAACCTGCTAACCAAAAGGTCAGTGGTTCAAGCCCATTAGTCACTCTATGTTAGAAAGACCCGGCAATCTGCTCCTATAAAGATTCAAAACCAAACCAAATGCCCTGCTGTCGAGTCGGATCTGACTTGGGTTTCCGAGGCGGAATCACTACAAAAGTACATTAACCAACCTGCCTTCTGACGAGTGGCTGGTGGGTTTGAACCGCCAGACTTCTGGTTAGCAGTCAAATGCCTTAGGCACTACGCCACCAGCCTACCCTCTGGGGCAGTTCCACTCTGTCCTCTAGGGGCGCTGTGGATTGGAATCGACTCCACGGCAGTGGGTGTGGTTTGGGCTTTGCTTCTGTGAAGACTGACAGCCTTGGAGACCCTGTGGGACAGTTCCACTCTGTCCTCTAGG